TATTTATGTAAATTATATACATTACGTAAGTTATAGCAGGGTTGGGAAGTACAGTGTTAGTACAATAATTAGTACAGTTAGTATAGTTAGTACATTATAATAATTAATATAAAATTAGTACAAGTACAGTACAAGTACAGTGGTAATTTTATCTAGTACATATAAAATTCCCAACCCTGGTTATAATACAATAAGTTACTGTTTTTAAATTTAGAAAGTTCAATAGCATAATTAATAAATTAACTTTATTTATATAAATATATAAAATTTTCTACAAAAAAAAATTACAGTCTGAAATGTTTGGAATGTAAATTTTTTTTTGAAATAAAAAAATTTTTTATTTAATAGTTATTACTTTCAAAATATAATATTAAACATTAACATTTTGTAACTTTTAATTATTAATGTTATTGCAAATATCTTAATATAATGAGTAAACCCAAAATTTTGCTATATTAAGATTTAATACTACCTTTTTTACTAAAAGGTATGCTGAAATTTAAATTTCAGTTATTATAAATTACCTTTTTATAATTTTAAACATTACAAATAAAAAATGCCAAAACAAAAAGAAGTTTTTTGAAGTCAGTTTGAGTGGATATCAAATGAAAATAATGAAAATTCTGAACAATAATAATGTATATATTGTGGTCGACAATAGGTTAAAAATGCAAGTCATTTAAAGAAACATCTGAAAGGCTATAAAAAATATCAAAATAGTGTGAATCAATCTGCACCTTTACCTCTACCTTCATCAATAACCAAACATAAAAAGGACAACAAATAACTCTTGATAGATATGCATATTCATTTAGTTAAAAAGATTAAGAGAAAATGGAAAAACTTCTAGCATGTGCTTTTATTCAGCTAGAATTTCTTTCAATATAATTAATAATCCTGACTTTCATATATTTCTTAAAAAAGCATGTTCAGCATTTAAGATTTTTTCATGATATAAATTATTAAATACTATTTTAGATTCTGAATATGATTCTCTAAAAAAAAATATAAATGATATATTAGAAAAAAAAAAATATTTATGTCTTACAAGTGATAGATGGTAATAAACTATATGATTATGATTTTACAACCACTTTTTTATAAGTCAATTTCTACATATGAAAAATGACATACTGCAAAAAATATCTCTGAAGGAATTAATTAACCTATTAATGAAATTGGTAAAGAAAAGGTTGTTGCTATTATTACTGATAATGTATTAAATATGAAAGCTACATGAAGAATTCTTAAAAATAAATATTCACGTAAGATAATAATAAAATTTATTAAAATGTAAAAAAATTGAAGTATTAATAATATTAATAAAAAATAATATATTTTTTTAGGTATTTTTGGGTTGTTGGGCTCATGAAATCGATTTATAGATTAAAGATATTATGACACTTACTTGGTCTGAATATTTAATTCAATCTGTAAAAGATATTATTTTCGAAAATATCAAGTTCCTTTTGCTATTTTATACCAATTACAAATGGAAAAATATGGTATCTAAATTGCATTATTATTACCAGGACAAACACGATGGGAAACAATATACTATTATATTAAAAATCTTATGAAAACAAAAGTTGCACTTTATAAACATTTTATGAAGAAGAAATTGAAATAGATTTACTAATAAAACAAAAAATTTTTAATATTTTTTTTGGCAGGATTTACAAATTCTATGTAATTTTCTTAAAATAAATTAATCAATTACAATCAGATCAATCAAGACTTTTTACAACATATTCAAATCTTCAAAAAATTGAACAATTAATTATTCAAAATTCTGATATATTTAAAGATGTTCAACAAAAAGTATGTGAATTTGGAGAATTACAATGGAATAATTTTCTTTACAATCCTATTATTATGATTGCTTACAAATTTGATTCACATTATTGTGATAAATACTTAATACTACATAATAGAATGAATTTTTAGAATAAGAAATTATTCGAATGACACCTGAAAATGAATATAATGCAGTTATTATAGATTATTCAGAATATGTAGGAAAATTAGAAGGATTTTCAAAAATTACTTATAGGGTAATTTGACTATAAAACTAATTAATTGGTGAAAATTAATTGTAAGATGCTATTCTGTATTAAGTAATATTACTCTTAAAGTATTATCAATTCTAGCAACTTCAGCAGCTAATAAGCGTAATTAATCAGCATTTAGTTTTATTCATAAATTACGAAATAGAATGTTAAATCAAAGAGTTAAAAAATGTGTTTATCTTTATTGAAATATGAAAATTCTAAGAAAAATTAAAGAAAAAACAGATATAGATATAACAAGTGAATTAGAAAATGATATTAAAATAAAAATGATAGTGAGAATGATCAATTTGATAATTTGTTTGTAGAAGATTTTGATGCAAATGATGTATATAGTGATGATTATATTAGTGATAATGATAATAATGAATAAATAAATAAATTATCCTTTATTTTTTATATGTTATATTATACGATTTTAAAATTTTTAATTTTGATCAAAATTAAGTTAATGCTGACTTACTAATAAATGGTAATTTACATCACCCTAATGGTAACTTACCGTAAGTTACATTATAAGTTACAATATATAAGTTACATTTACAATCCTGTGTATAGATAAAGTTGTTTAGTAGATTCCAAAATATGTAAATATAAAATTTTATTATGATTGGATTAAAAGTTGTAAAGTTATGAACATTTTTCTTAATTATATTAACAGTTATCTGATTTGTAGATTTATCACAACTTATTATATTAGTAATCTAAAATAATAAAGTTTAAAATATATCAATATTTTTTTAAAAAATATTAAACAAAATTAATAATTGTTTAATTTCTTATTAATTATATTACTTTTATATTTGAATATAAATATTGTTAAATTAATAAAACTAAAAAAATTCCTTTTTAAACAAGTTAAGTCAAATCAGATCAGGTCAAATATATATTAATTCAGGTTAATTTTATGTTTAATCTAACTTGTTCAGAATTCTACATGTGATTTTAAGGTCAGAAATTTTATTTATGTATTTTTATAGAATTTTTAATTTTAAATGCCAATGATGCATACTGATCTTATAGAAAACACATACATACAACTAATAGTAAAAAATTTACGAGCATCTGACCTTTACATATATGGGTGTGTTTCTAGCAAAATCAAGGTACGGATCATATGATTTACTATGTCTCATGACTTGATTTTTCTCGAAACGTTCCCATATATTTCTGAATCTTACTAATAATTATGACTTATCTACTATTACCTTATATATAAATCATAATGATAGTTATAATCAATCACTTTAATTAAAAAAATTTCAACTATCTCCTGTTAGCACTCACTAAAGTTGCTACTCAAAATATTAGTAAAACTACTATTCATTTCATATTATAAGTCATTTCAATTCAAGAAGGATTTTGTATCAGAATCTATACTAATTAAAAACTAAACAAATGCTTAAAAAAGTTGATATTATAATTATTAAGAAATATCAATAGTCACTACAAACCTCCTAAATCTCATTTCAGATACTTTTGCAAATCTTAATCAAAATGCTATAATATAAATATAATTCTTATTAGAGATCTTATACAATTATCTCCTATTATTAATAAATCTGTCTTTCATGTAACATTTTAAAAATTATTTCATCCTTTATTTTTAATAAATCTTTAACAATAATAAACTGATTATACATTCTACTAAATGTTAGAGAAAATACAAATAGGAATCATCACTTTTCAAACATGACAAACTTTGCAAAGAAGGTATTCTGAATTCTTAACATATCTTGCTATTGATACTCTTCTCAACATAACCAATATCATTGGTTTTAAAGAGATTGTTTAACAGATCAATAGAATAGTCTGCAATATATTACCTGTTTCTAATGGAAAGTTCTTGATCCCCAATCTATAAATTCAATAAATTTTACAGAATGGAATATTCTGAATCTATGTTTAAAACAAAATGAACTTTTCAACTTTAGTATGATTACAACCCAATGCTTGAGTCAAGTTTCTTGACAATTCTATGATTCAGCAAAGTATTTGTAATGGAACTGTAGAAATCATAACTGACCTTGATTTAGAAGATGAATCTATTCATATTGTCTTTTCAGTCAGAGGTTCTATTATAGATACTACAATATACAAAAAAACTAATTATTTTGAATTACATGGTAGACAGACAAACCTAATTTCCACTCCAGAATTCTTTCACTCTTACCATACATAAAATACAAAGTCTAATCTTGCCAAGAGTGTCTCTCACATTAGACCAAAATATATTTTATAGGACAAGCATATGTTGCTCTGAATAGATGCTCTACCTGGAAAAATGTTGATATCTCTCACATTGACTATCCACCTTCATGACGGATCAAGAAATGATTAAAGAATATCAAAGACTCCAAAATATGTCACAATCCAACCCTCACTTTCCCAGATGATAGATCAAAACCCATTCATAATATCAAATATATCTCAAAAAAATATTAACAACATATCATCCTAAACAATAAATAAATTATTTCAATATCAATATCATATTGATTTTAATTAAAATGTTTGTTTTCCCTTATAAGATAATAAAAAACTTCACAAAAAGCAAATGATAGAATATTATATTTGATTTTGATTTATTAATTTGTTTTTATTACTGTACGAACAAATGAATTTTGCGATTCCCAACATTTGATCTGTTTAAAACCAAATGATGATCATTGATCAACAGATGTCGGGATCACGAGGACGACGTGTATCACGGGGTCCCCCCAGTACTGGCTAGTTAAAACAATAAAGTGATAATTCCAATACTTTTTCAAGAATTTAACTAACCAAATTAGTCCAAACAGCGCGTTTTTTATCTTGTCGTTTAAAAAGAGATTTCCGTGTCGGACCAAAAAAAAAATTAAAAAATTAATAATTATTACTTGGGTCTTTCATTTTTTTTTTTATATTTATACTAAAACTAATTACTTCAAAATGGCGCGTATCGAAACTATTCAAGAACTTTATAACGCGACTTTATGGGATTTCAAAGCGGAAGGCAATGCTAATATAATATTATCTTATAATGGCGAAAATGATATTTTCGTATGTTATAATGGTTCTGTTCCCTTACATTATTTTATAATAAAATAATTTTAATTAAAATAAAAAACTATTTAATTTATGTAGTCAGCTGTAGTACTTCGTCTGCGAAAGGATAACGAAATTAAATTTGACACAGCTGTTGATCCTCAATTCTTTACGACTTCTTACGTAAATTTCGTTATGGTGCCCTTGCTTGGTAGTAAATACGTTGGTGAATCGGTATAAAATGTCGTATTAATTATTACATTTTGACTTTGGATAAACAAATTCATTATATAAAAGTGTTTCGTAGATATTGTTGGAAGTACGACCTGAATTTCTTAAGGCGTTGTCTAGAGCAATCCTTCCTATGAGATCCAAAAAACGAATTCAAAATGATATCGATTTCAAGCAGCGTTATGGTATGTTAACATCTAATCATACGAGGTTTTCAGTGAATATTAATCCCACACTTTCCGTAGAGTTGAAGGTATTTGTTTTTTAATATTGAAAAGTGTATTCATTCTCTGTTTATAACTATACACCTTTCTTTTTTGGAATACAGCCCAAATGGGCTTTTTTGCCATATTCTTCGTTCATAACTTGCGAAACTTCTGTAAAGCTCCAATCATGTCGTTTCTGCATGCATAAATATCTTAATAGGAATCCAACCAGATATTGTCCATTGGATTTATTTTCTCTAGAAGATAAAAGAGTGAGAAAGGCAATAGAATCGTTATTAGAAGATCCTGGAAATAATTTAAAGTTATTTATACAAGGAGTGCAAATTGAAATTGGAAAGGTAAAGCTAGTTATTAAATAATGTGATAAATTATATTTTATTTCACCATAAACTTTGTTTGATATAGGAGAATTGGCAAACTCGATTATATGAATTTTTTGAGATAGATTGTCCTATGTTGGATGATAAAAAACAGTAAGATTATAATTGGCAATGCATTGTTATATTTAATCATGATTCATAGATAATTTCTTTTTATTTAAATCGCCCAGAAAAAGCAATCGTGTAGTTGACATGCTTATTTCATTATTGATGCAAGCTATCATGAAAGAACAAGATTTGTTTATTAAGCTTAAGAGGTTGCAAAAAACTCTAGACGAATTAGATATTGAAGGAATCAATCAACTCTTATTAACTCATCATCCGAAATTATCCGAACCTTCATTAGAAGAATGGAAATTGATAGTAGCCGAATATAAGAAAAGAACGAATGATGCAAATGGTTGGTAATTTTTTTTTCTTATTATATCATTATTTGTATCATGTATTAAATATTATATTTAATTAGCATTTGAGAACACGAATATGGATGATAAACAAATTCGCCAGCGGATTTACGAATATTTGATATCTGCTACCTTGAAAGACTGTTCTATAATTTTTGCTTTTCAGAAATCAGATTATAACGGACGAGGAATAAATACGCAAGGCGTTTCCGGGTTACAATCTCAATTTTATAATTATAGGTACTTTTTCCTTGCGTTATTCATGTTGCGTTTAATTAAATATTGATTTATATTATTATTTTGACAAATTGATTATTTTGTTTAAAGTTCAATTTTCCAAGAAAGACTTCAACAAATATCATTAACTGAAACGCAATCAGTCATTTATCATAATTATAATGGTTTTTATAAGCATTATATTTACAAAGTCAATGTTATTGATTTAGATCCAAAACCTTTGGCAAAATTACATTATTATAAAGATTTAGATACAAACATTGTAAAGAATTACTTAAAATACGCTGCAATAAAAAAAAAATGTTCTGAATGAATTAATTAAATGAATTAAGATTTATTTATTTATTCTAAGTAAAAATTTTTTCAATTGTATTAATTGTATTAATAATGAGCTCAATATTATTATATTTCTTACATTAGTTGTGATTGAATGAAATCATCTGTGATTATTTATAATTATGAATATAATATATATATTTTTAATAGGCAAATGTGTAATAACAAATCAAATTATTAAATTTCTTTCGTAAATTACGACCATTGATCACCATTTAGGTGAGATACATTTATAAATTCATTTTACTATTTTAGGTAAAAAAAAAAAAAAAAAATCGTTATTCAATCTCAATATATACATTTATCTCCATAAGCGTAAGATTGATTACTTAGTTTTCTTTGAACCCTTCCGTGTAGATTTATGACGTTGATTATCCTGATCTTCTAATTCTTGTGGTTGATGTTTTATATGGACTACGTTTGCTGAAGTTAGCAAATTAACTGCTGCTTGAATTTGTCGATCATCTATTACCGAACCATCTGATGGAGTTGTAGAGGGTGAAGCGGAAGTTTTTATTTGTTGTGAAATTTGTTTTTGATTTTGTGGTGTTAGTTGTTGAGTAGAATGTTGTGAGATTTGAGTTTGTATTTGTGATTGAGTTGTTAGTGTTTGCGATGTCGTTTCTGAGGATGATTGTTGTTGAGCAAATTGTTGGTGTTGAAGGCGAAGTTGTTGCTGTAGTTGAATTTTATGTTGCATATGATCTGCTTGAAACTAAACAACGTTTGTGTCATTCGAGTTCTTTTTCTTAATTATTAGATATTGATCATAGGAGTGAAAAGATTAAAGTTATAATACAATACCCAAAGAATTTAATTCCTTACCTGTTGATGATAATAAGAAGCAGCAGTAACAGAAGTAGAATCAGATGATGTATATGGAATTCCATGTTGTGGTGGATAATAAGATAAAGCATCTTGATCGGGATATATATGTTCTGTTTGCTTAAAAGTTTTTTTTTTTTTATTTGAAAAAATATTGTAAAGTATAAATCAAAATATTCTTATACGAAAAAAAAAAAAGAAAAAAAAAAAAAGAAAGAAAGAAAGAAACCGTCATATACAACAAAAAAATCTTTTATAAAACGCAATATACATCAAAAAGCATTAACGCCTACAGGTTCATCCTTTGGTCTCCTACTTGAGGTTTTGGGTACTTCCTCTCTTGGAACGATATCAATTAAGAAATCGAATTGATCAGATCTACTAACAGCAGATGCAACGTCACTCCGTTGTAAGGTGCGACGTTTGTTTTCTTCAGCATGGATCCATGCTCGCATTGTAATCTCAGATATAAAAATTTCGCAAGCTTTTGAGAATAAAATTGGTGCCTAATTATGATGATAAAATATTGATATAAATAAATAAGTTGCAAGACATTTCTGATGAAAAAAAAGGCTAACCTCTGCGCTAATCATCTAATTTTTGATTCAAATGTATATTAGTAAAAACGAACAATTAATAATGTACTCATTAAAACATCCATAATATTTAAATTCTCACTTTAACATCCTGATCACTTTTCATAACTTTCTTGATTCTTGCTAAAGGTAGAGGATGATTTTTAAAGTCACTTTCAAACTGTTCTGCTAAAGAAAGTTGTCGACTCCAGAACTAGTTTTTTAAAAGTCATTATCAGTAAGCCCAACTTTTTCATATTATTTAAAACAGAAATAATCCTTAATAAGAATGTTCTTATTGACCACTTCATATAAAAAATCGTTCATTTCTACGAACCTGCTGCATAAACGCCTGATTTTGTTGTTGCTGTTGCAGTTGTTGTTGTGTTTGAATATGTGTTGAAGTTGCCGGATTGGTAGAGGTGGGTGCGACATTTGAAGTTGTTGGAACATTTTGGTCAACAACGGTCTGTACTGTTGGTTCTGTCATAGCAATTATTTTTCTTTAAAAAAGTTAAAGTTAAAAAGGCAAAAATATATAAACTGACTTTCGCTTTCGATTTGTTTACTTTTGTGATGAGGACAAAATGCGGTAAATTATTAATCAGGTGATAATTAAAGATCGGCCAATCGCATTATGCATGAATTAGTTACAAAGGTGTGTATTGGTTACAATAAAATTATTACGTAATTTTTTTGATATATTCAAATTATTTCTTTTTTTTTTTAATAATTTTCTTAATCTTAATCCTTTTATAAATCAAAAAAAGCTAAAAATAACTTAATAGAAAAGGAGGAAATCTAAAAAATATAAAATTTTTACTTTATATGCTAAATATGATTTTTTTAGTAAAAAAAATTCAGATTTAACTTTAACTCATAAAAACTTTTTTTTAGATTTCCCTCCTTTCTATTGATAAGCTCCCATATATAAAAAATTTTAATCCCAATATTATTATATATATTTTGATTATTATTGATTATAAAAAAAATTCATTAAAAATAAATATATCAGATCATAAGAAGTGAATTTTATATTTTTAAAAGTCATAATAAAGTGATTTAGTAGCAAATTAATCCATTTTTTTTGCAATTAAAATTTCTTTAATTTTTGATTTATATAGTATTTATAAAAAATCTTTAAATGATTTATCTAATGTAAATAATTTTACAATATAAATAATGATAATTTATAAAATAAATAAATATATTTGAATTAAAACTATAATTAATAATATTATCTGAAGTGTTAAAACTTGTTAAAACTATTTTTGAAAAAATCAAGTTATATAATAAAACCTATAATAAAATTGGTAAAACTTGGTTAAATTAAATACTAAAATTAGTAAAACTAGTTTAGGATAATGAAAAATAGTTTTGATAAATACAGTATCATTAATATAATTCTATTATCAAAAATGATAAAAAAAGTTTTATTATTTATTATATTAATTAATATATTAATACTAATAATTCAAAAAAAAAATCCAACAGCTCAAATTAGAATAGTAAATTGATTAATTAAAAAAAGTATTAAAAAATACTTAACATATTTATTATAATTATAAATAATGCTTGTAAAAAAATAAAAAAATAAATAAAGAAGATTATAATAATTATAATAATAATAATAATAATAATAATAATTAAATATTAAATAAAAATAATAAAATAATAAAATTTATTAATTAATTATATGATTAAAGTTTATTATGTTTTTTTAATTTAAATATTTTTTTAGATGATGTTTTTTCCTTTTTTTTATTTTACTTTTATTAATATATCATTTAGTATTATTTAAATAATAAAAAAAATATTTGAATTTAATATATATTTTTTTATTTATCAATACTAAAGCTAAAAATAGATTTGTAACTACTAAGTTATAACTAATAGTAGAATCTTAAATATAAAAATTTATATTGTTACCAGAAATAATTCTCTTTACATATATTTTGCTAAGTTACTTTATTGTGGTAAATGAGTTAGTTCCTTATCATTAAACTTTATAACCTTAAGAAATTTTACATTCTATAAGTATCCAGAATTTCTTGAAATTATTTTACTTAACTTTTCGAACTTAAAGTTTAGGAAATTTAGAAGAAACTTAAAGGATTTATTTATTCTAAGTGATTGATTCAAAAGCAAGTTAGTGTAATAGTTCACGATCAAATTCTAAATGATGATTATATAGAAAGAAAAAGTAATTATATTTTAAAGTTGATTTCTTTATTACTTGAAATTTGCAGGAGTTATAAAACTTACAAAAAAGTTATAAACTAGCAATTAAGTTAATTTATAATTTAAACAAAAGTTATTCTATTTATACAAAATAAATTTGCTATAGCTAACTAATTGCTATACTATAAATTAACTAAATTTGTAACTATAACTGCTAATACATTAGTAAATTTAATAGGATGTAATATTGCATAAACTTATATTCAATAATATTATATAAATTTACAAGACTATCGTAAGATTATGTAATATATATTTTTGTAATATTTTGTAAATTTATGATATAATACTACATAAGTATTATAGATATATAACTATATGAAAGTTTACAGCATAATACTTCATAATATTACTTACAGTGTAAGATTATGTAAAACTTATAATAATAAAAATTTTAAAAGTTTACAAAAATTTATAATATGAATTTGTTTATAATATTTTATATCTTTTGATAAAATGTAATTTAAAACTTTCAGTCATGTAATATTTCATAAATTCACTGAGTTTAATATATTTAAATTTATTTATATATAAATTATACTTTATTTAAAACAATTTAAAAATGAATTACAAATAATATAAGTTAAAATATAAAAAAAATATTACAAAAAGTAGCATATATTATTATAGCAATAAAGTTAAAAATTTGGTTAAACAATGAGAATATTTCTAAAAAAAAGGTTGGGAAATAAAGAAAATAAATGTTAAATATTTAATGTTTCAAAAAATTCATATGAAAGTAAAATAAATTAGTAGAATAGAAAAGAAAAAGAGAGACAGTTAGTAGAATATAAAAGTAAAAAGAGAAAAAGTTAGTAGATTAGAGATAATAAAAAAGAAACAGTTAATAGGATAAAGAAATTAAAAGAGAGAAAATTAGTAGAGAAATTAAAAGAAAAACAGTTAGTAGAGAAATCAAAAGAGAGATAGTTAGTAGAAAATCAAAAGAGAGAAAAGTAAAGAAAAAAGTAAATTAATTAATTTATAAAATCTGAAATTATGACTACTTATAATAAAATATAAATGACTATTATTTTTAATAAATATTTATGTAAGAAATTTTATCAAAAAATGAAAAAAATAGATAGTGTTTTTTTTGTTTATTTTATATATATATATATATTATTTTATTATATCATATAATCAAGTTACCATAGAGTGCTGATTAAACCACCTCCTATGCAAAATACCCTTCTAAAATTTTAGGCTAAAATTTTGTAAAAGACTCAGGTGGTTTAAATAGAAGGTTTTTTTAATTGAAAAAGTAGAATTATAAATCATGTGATTAATATACCATTACAATATTTATTTAACAAATACATATTTTCATATTTTATTCAATTTTAAAAAATTTAAAAATAAAACTTTAAAACTTTATTATTTATTCAAACATCAACAAAATTAATATCATCCTAATTATTGTAATCCTCCTCTCTAAATTTGTCATTGCCAATTAACTCATCATTTTCCTTATTTTCTTTATCTATTGCAAGATTATCATAGTTAAATATCATATCATCTTCAGAACTATTACTTTTAACTGAAATGTCACAACATTTGAATGATCTATGAATTAAATTTATATTAATTTTTTTCTATACAACTTTTACCTATGAATATACTAAAGTATATAAAGGTTTTTAATACACTTAGATGAAGTTAATTCATGAACTTCATTTGTCATCCAATCATTATAAAATTCGTGAATTTATTAAATTAAAAATCCTTTTAATTTATATAATAATAAATATAAAAAATAATAAAAAATTTATAAATTATACTTATATTAGATTTAAAACTTTTGTTAATTGATACATCAAAAGGTTGTAATTTTGATATTAATTCACTAATAATTACTGCCATATTAGTTGCTTTTTCATGTAATTTTTGTTTAATAGAGTTAACTAAATGATCACAAAAAGAATCTAAGACAAGAAATGAATTAGGATTAGACAAATCAACAGTTCTTTTAGACCAGATATTTTCAACCACTAAATCATTTCATTTTCATTAACATATTCTTTTGCATTTACTCTTACAAATATACCATTAGGAAATGTTTCTTGAGATATATTTTTACATTTAAAAATAACAATAGGTGGTAATTTTGATCCATCTGCCATACAATCCAAAATAACTGTTAATTTACTTTTTTCATGTCTGGTAGTTTTGATATTAATAGTATTAGAACTGTGTTTTTCTAAAGTATATGAATTAAGTAAATCAAAAGCTATAAGAGTCTTCTTTCATCCATATTTCCAATAAATTAAAGGGGTAGATCATATTATATTCTTCTGTAAAGAATAAAACTCAAAAAACTTTCCTACTTTTCAAGTAAAACTTCTGATAAATGCTGAGATACTGTTATTTTTCGACAATTTAAAAGATCATAATAATTCATAAAACAGTCCATTCATTTATTTGAAAATTTAAAGAAAGAAATATTAGGATATTTTTTTTGATATTTATTAGTTATTGCAAATTCTTTGGCTTTTTTTGTTGCTATATTTCTAGAAATTGGAAGACCTTGTTCTTTATATTCTAAAATTCAATTTGCTAACTCATTTTCTAAATCCAAAAAAAATGCTAGTCTACCATTATATAATTTTAATAAATGAGGCATAGAGGCTTTAAGTTGATCTTTTTTATTTCTTTAGTCACAAACTTGATTTGGTTATAAATCAAAATATTTTGCAGTAATATGAACACTATTTGAATTATTTAAAAAATACAAAATTATTAATTTTTCATGAATTGCTCAAGTTTTTTTTTTTAAGAGTAAACCTAGAATGCTTAGCACTTTTATTTGCTCTAACCATTTTTAATAATATAATAGTGAAATGTGATACAAAAAATAGAACATGATACAAAAAATGAAATACCAAAAACTTTATATATTGATAATCTATATAACCCTTCAAGCCATCTCCCCCTTCTTATAAAATAACCCCTAATTAAACTATCCAGGTATTTTGCAAATTTAATAGTAGATTTGTAAAATACCCAGAATGGTTTAGTCAGCATTTTACAGTAATTTTGATTGGTTGATTTTAAAATTCTGAAATTAATATTAATAAATATAATATTGTTTTTAAAAAATATTTAACACAAATAATACAAAAAATATAAAATATAAAAAAAAACGAGAAGAAAAAATCACTAATTTATATATTTAAATGCAAAATTATTTTTAAATATATTAAGAAAAGAAAAAAATTTTGCCAAATTTTTTTAATAGTCATTACTAGTGTTATTATAGCTTTTTTTATCACTTTTTACCATTTGATCTATTATTTTTTCTCTTTATCTTTACTTCATCAATATTATCATTAAATTATCATTATCATTATTATCATCATCTTTTTTATCAGAATGTAAAAATTTCTGATTTATAGCTCTTCAATAAATAATATAATAATAATAATAAATTTAAATATTTGTATTAAATTTTATGCAAATAAAAGTTAAGATCCAGAAATAATTACAGTGGCTTACAAAAGAAACGCAAGTAGAATTGCTTGCCTTTAAAAGCTTATAACTCACCAACCACGAATGCTAGAAACATGTTTTTGTATTTGTTTTAAACCTCAAAACCTAGTTAATATTCAGTAAAAATTTGAAGTGCGATTATTAAGACCAATTTTGCGCACTTTAGCGATCTACATCAAAAATTCTTACTTAATGAAATTTAAGTGTAGAAAAATTTTTTCAGTAGGCCAACTACCCA